CTTGAACGGCTTGTTTGTTTGAGATGTGAATAAGAGACAGGAAATATATTATAATTATGTAAGTTATCTGATAGATATATAATTCAACGTAGGCAAATGGGAGTAAAACACCAACTAAGCAAACACAAAACGTTATTAAAACATTACGCTAACGTTGGGAACGCTGTGGTTAGGTTGCCAGAAAATATTATTCCAAAGCAAATTTATTAGACGAAAGAGGGCACTTGTTCCGATAATCACCTTTTTTCAATTCCAGAAACGCATTACATTTGACTTGGGGAGTATCATGCCTATTGTCTGTGACTTTGTTAATATAGAAATTAGGCTACATATGAGTTCTAAGGACGGTTCCAAACTGCTACAGTATTGACAACATGGCAATTTCGCCTTCAATCGGTTAGAAGATTTAGTAGGAATCTGAACATTTCCTTGTGCCGACGATTCATTTTGTCCGCGTTATAGCTCTGCCCATAACAACCTAGTATCACAATTTAAAATCCTCTTTTTTGACGGGTAAAAGTTAAAACATTCTTTCACTATAATAAAAAAAAAATTTCTTTTAAAGGCACTTTACTCTGGAATCTGAATTACTCAACAAATTAATGAATATCTCACTCTGTTTTTAAGATTTGATAAGGAACTTTATTTATACAAAATGAAATGACCGCAGCATTCGGCGATCCAAAGGATATACTAGTTCGAACTTAATAAAAGGTGCTGGCTGATAGTTTAAGACTTAAGAAGAGATGATGTGGAGATTATTGTTATAAATACTTTTTTTTGAGTTAGAATTGATAGTAAATGTTCACCTGAGTTCGACAGTGTCATTTCTTCTTTCAAGGAGATTACCTGAATGGGTTATTATTTAGGCCTACTACTAAAGGGAGGTTTATAAACATCATGTGCCACTTGGATTAGGCTATGCCTAATCCAAATGCCATCCACCTATTTCTATAGACGGTGATGCCATTAGTAAGTTGATATACAGTAGGCCTATATGTTAATGCTTGCTGAACATCACGTAGATAGTTCTGAAAAGAACTGTTGTTGGTTGAGAGGAGAATAATATCCGCAGAAAATTCCAAGCAGGGAAATACTTATATGTTTGGGTAGTGACACGAAGAGATGATGTGGAGATTATTGTTAGGCTTATTTAAATACTTTTTTTAGAGTTTTATAGTAAAATGTTCACAAGTCTACATGAGTTCAAAAGTGTCATTGGCTTCTTTCAAGGAGAAAAGAAGAAAGTTAATATGCTGACGACGTCGAACTGACCGACAATAGACGAAACAGTTATTTTATTTTATTCATTTTTTTTAGACTTTACACTGACAATACAAATTGCCACAGGACGGTAGCCAGTGGCGGAGAGGGCAAAAAGGGAGATACAAAGAACCTCTAAAGACACTGTCTTTTCACAACTATAACCACAGGAAAAGAAAATAACTATACAATAATAATGTTAACAACAGGGAACTGTTAACTAATACGTTTAAACAGTAGACTTTTTTTTATATTGTTTTAATCCATATTTGCAACCGTTGTAACAGAAAACAGAACAAAAAGTAGTCCCGGTAATATTTGTTACAAATTATATGAAAAAAAAGTGGATCCTACGAATATTCAATTGGCAAACGTACCTTTCAGCATATTCCTTTTATAATCAAACTGTTTCATGTCATTTATTATTGCGATGTATATTTTTCTATTTAACAATATTTGTTAACATCATTTTTAAATGAATAAATACATAGCACATTTATTTTAATGCCAATAAAACCGAATATTGAAAGCGACGACAAGAAGAATTTCAAAAAAATATAAATTATGGGTGTTCTCAATTACCACCGATATTAATTATAGAATGATGTTAGACAATGTTGCTTTTTGTAATATTTGAAAAAGTCGGGTTTGTTAGAAATAATCTCTATAGAATGCAAACTTAAAGGCTGCCACTCACTGCTCCGTACGACAAATCGCACCATGTTAAAAATCATTTATTTTCAACTTATTTTTCCGTTGATGTGTCCATAAATATTGCACAAGGCTATCGTGTTCAGTAATATCTTGCTTTTTTAGTTCAACATGAATAAAATCCTGGCAGTTATTTTGGTCACATCATTGTGCTTATGTCTGAGTGAAGCAGGCAACTTCTACCAACAAAAGCAGAGGGGCAGGAATTACGGTAGATCCGCTGATTTACAGCGTGCAGCACTCCTTAACAAGCTCTACAGACGTACGTTTTGGGAAGATCCAGAAGAATGGGACACCGGGTACGTATAAGAGTTTTTATTAATTTTGTGTAGGCTTATTTATTTCTTTATGCACACCCATGCGCCAATGGGATTGCCAGTGTCGAATAATATCACTGCCCAGTGTCGTCGGGGCATTGGAATGGGAAAGGGGCTGATGTGGGCGCAAAGGTGAAGTGAAGGGCCTGATGTTAAGCTGAGGCGGTGCTAGCTGGCAAAAATATGGTGGTATGAAGTTATTTTGTAACTACTTTAGTGTTCTTTTTCTTCAAATATCATAAAATTCCAGTGGGAGCTGGAAGGAGGTAAGCTTTTTTCTATATACACCACTCTCACTCCTTACCGTCCTTTAGTGACAGCCCCTCTCACAAGACAAACATAAAAACACGTCGATGCTTTACACAAACTAAATGTCAATATGAGACTTAATAGAGTAAAGTTGCTTTGGAGAATAAATCCTGGAACCCAGAACCATTAAGGCCAAGCACCTTAATCAGCTATTTAACCGCACTCCAAAGCTAACACTACACCAATCGTTTTATTACGCCTAGATTTCGATAATTAAAAAAATCAACGCTAAATTCACATGGACAGATTGGCCTGTCATTCAAAAGCGTTATTAAATATTAAAATAAAAGTAATAGAACAATGTAGAAAGTACCAGTACATATTATTGATGCCATTAACATATTAACACCGTAAAAAATGAATAAAAATTGTTTAATCTTATACTTACAGGGATATTAAGTTACGATAAAAATGTATCGTATTCACAGTATTGTATGTGTACCATTTTCGTTGTTTTCATTGTATACTGTAATAATTATTTATTAAATATTATTATTATTTCTATCATAGGCCTATTATTATTATTATTATTATTATTATTATTATTATTATTATTATTATTACTATTATTATAATAATAATATTATTATTATTTTTATTATATTTTAGGTATCCTAAACGAGATGATGAAGATTGGCTCTAAAATTTATAAGGTACGGTACTTTAACTGAGTGTGAACTATTTTATAAAGGCGAATCCTCATCATCATATACATATATATTTGTTTTCACCATGAAGTCGCAACTCCCTCACTTGAGCCGGAGTTAGTAGAGCCGAGGCTTATCCAAGGTGGAAGCTAAACTGGAGCCCAGCATACTCAGTGTCGCCGGAGTACCGATACCTGCGTACGTGTACACAGTGGTGGCGGCGCCGTCTCAACATCGGAAGAGCGCATTTTCATTCCCTCTTTCGTGTTCGCGGTTTGTGCAATGCCATTTTTGGCCGCCGTCTCACTTCAATACTTGAACGGCTTGTTTGTTTATTTTATTTTTTATTTATTTTTAAAATTTTATTTATATATATATTTTTTAAATTTTATTTATATATATATATTTTTCAAATTATGATTAATGGTCTGAATACTGTCAGCGACTTGAGACGATTTTATTGTGGAAGGCGCTTTACAAATATCCAACCATTACCATATATAATGTTTAAATCGAATAGGTAATATAGGCTTATATTATATATTATATACCGTATATGTACATATATATACACATATATACATATACATATACATAGGCCCATATACATATACATATACATATATATATACATACATTAGGGTCCCTTCGTGTCTGTGTTACCCGGTAACCCGGTACCAGCAACTCTCGTCGTCCACCACAGGGGCTGTCTGTTCCAGTACACCAGGGTATCCCCCTGCTCGTCTCGAAAGATGTACTGGGTTCTTTCCTTGGTTCTTTATAGTGCACACGAGCCAATGTATACACTGGGGGTACGGTTTATATTCCTTATCCGAGAAGAACCATAGGCGAGCGTGCCGTTCGAACCATCGCCGAAATTATGGCTCTAGCTTGGGGTGGTCTTTAATAGGAGGGTTCTATAATTATTTTATTCGAATTTGACGAGTTTATCTGTGTATTTTACTGTCGCCGATGCAGCTTGTTTGATTTTATATTATAGGCCTAATATTGTATTATTTGTTTTTTATTTTTCAGAATACCAAGTTGGTCATTACCGGGTAGCAACTAGTCTAGTCATCGTGTTTTATAGTAGATATATCGAAACATTTTTTAACATCAAGTTGCGTTCAATTTCAATTGTGTGATTGTTCAAAACATGTATTATGATAATGCTGACAATTATTATTTTCAATGATAAATGAGACATTATATATTAAGAGCCGTTACGAGAAGCTAAACTACTCTAACTCAAGATTCAGGGCAAATATAGAAAGAAACGAAAGGGAAGAAAATCAACCGACGGACACACTTGCTTGATCGTCCCGAAACAAAGATATATATAATCTTGACCCATATTCATACTCGCTTGAGTCTATTGTTAAAATTACTGTTTGTAAAAATTAATAACAATTTATTCGTTTGGAAATAGGCATATGTACAGACAAAGTAGAGTGGAGCATACTCGTGTTTTTGGCTTGGGAATAATGAGAGGACTTTACGAATAGATTAATATTGTTATTACACGAGTGTGCTAATTACAATATGGCTTTATTTTTGCTTTCATGATAAAATAATTTGATCAATAAAATCTAATAGACTTTGAATTCATGATTTATCCAGTTAATCATAGATTACGATCGAAGTAATAGTGAGGGCCTTTATTATTAGGCCTAGGCCTATAGCTTACATAAAACATTTTAACACGGTGATACCAATATACACACATGGTTTATCATGACTGGGTGATGTTAATACAGTACCTAATACTTTGAAGTGGAGTTAAATAGCTTAGTGGTTAATATACTTGCCTTCTAATCCCAAGGTCCTGGGTTCAATTCATGTGACAGCAGAACTTTCTCACGACTAAAACAACTGCACTCCGTAAGCCTCATAAAGAGACATCGCTGATAAAAGCATCACATTATTTCATTTATTTAAGAGGACCTCTGAATATCAGCGGATCTTCTATGATACACTGGAATGGTTAATCTCTATAATATGGTTTTAAAAATACATTTATGGTTATTGATTCTAAATGAAGCTGAAACATGAAATTTATAATGAATCTGCCTATGCCTGTAATATGCATTTTAACTCAATATCAACTTTTCTTTTGAATAATGGAATACAGTGAGGCCTATATTAATGCATATAGGCTAATCGCTACATAGCCTAGTTAAATGAGGACAACGATGTCAGAAATCTATTCTTTGCATAACGCAATGTTTCAAATCACAATAAGCTTACGTACGGTAATATTTTAAAATTAATCTGCCTAGAGAACTATTGTTTTGATATTCTACAAAATTTGTAATTTGACCAATATCACTTTTTTTTTTTTTAAATAATGGAACACAATGATATATTAATCATATCTACCTTAGGTAGGCTAATCATATTACCATATAGTTAATGGGGACAACAACGTCAGGAGGACACCAACGTCAGGAGGACAACAACGTCAGGAGGACACACACTCTAAGTTGGCATTAAACCGGGCACTCAATGCTCCCAACAGTCGTCGGCTGACGTGATTCTGTAGAGAACGCAACGCCACGACGCACGCGCAACGGATCGGTTCTAATGACGATCCGTTCAGACTGCAAAGACAATCAGTAGACGGCGTCGCGTCGTCTGGCACTCAGGAATCGTCGGCCGACGGTCGTACGACCGTCGTACTACGCAACGTGCCCTACTTATACCCAACGGACTAATCAAACAAAACCTACGACTTTTTATGTACAGTAATATGTTTACTTCGAAACAGCCCAGTGGGGAACATTACACAACATAAGAATTCTGTAGAGAAAACACAACCACAAAAGAGAAGGAAGTAGAGACGAATATTTATGTATCTAAAACAAATAGGCCTACATTATTTTTATGTACTGTGTAAGTTGCAATAACTTATTCAACTAGAGCAATCACTCCATAAAGTGCATACCTTCGCCTTGTGCCTGAATACAGTACCAACAATACACAGGCCGTGCATGCTAGGCGAAACTGCAGCATACCCTCAATGAAATACTGGAATCGCCCATCGTATTCAGGCACATTATTGTCTTGCGTGCTACTGTAACCTAACCTCAAGAAAATAATGGAATCGCCAGCCGTATTCAGAGGCACTGTTTTGTTGAGTGCTGCCTGAATACGAGAGGCGATACCATTATTTTCTTTTATGCTCGAGGGTAAAACAAAATCGAATTTCAGTAACCTTGTTTGAGTTTTAAGAATAAGTAATTTAGGAATAAGAAGTAATTTCAATCTAAAATTATATTGTTTCTTTCACGGAAAACTAAGACAGAGCATAAAAACAGAACACAGCAATTTATGATGACAATAGCGTGCTTACAATATAATCTTAATTTAGAGAGGCAGTCTAGATGCAACCGGCCCCACAAACAACAGCCGCATTCAACTTCATTTTCAAATGTCAGCATCCTGAGATTACCATCATGTTTTTGTGCAATGTCAGTTTTTTTTAGTTATTTGAAAACACGAGACAGGCCTATTAAAATATGTATGCGTATATAATATCGCGACCAGAGAATAATCAAATAGGCCTACACAAAATACATTATTCAAAAACGTTTCATTCCATTTCACAATGTAATTAGCCGGGAAAGGTTTAATTTACCGATTCGAATACAGATTCATTCAGAGAACAATATGTTTATAAATCGAATTACTCAAAAGCCACTTGAAAGCGCGTGACGGACAAGCAATCATGTACCGGATTTTAACGTATCAACTTGGATTCACTATTCAGAAATCGTGGCACAGTTATGTAACAAGTCTGAGTTACAACTTTTGATTGCGTTTGCAAATGCATTCCAAAAATATGCATGTATTATCAGCTGCGTGCTCCCAGTAAATGTAGTATGAATAACATTCAGATAACGAAAAGCAAATACTGTACTTAGAGATGTTCAAACAAAGTTGTTGAATAAGCCACAAACTGAAGCGTGAATGGACCTTTCCGCTGAGCCCCACTATGTATATGTAAACACGTGTGCTTGTGGTACGCGCGCGTGTTCTGGGCACTGTTCTGATTGGTCAGTTGTTAAGTTGAATTGACACTGTGTGAAAGCTCATCTCCTTGCGTAATTAAGACATTGATTGATAGTCGCTGGCGAGATTCTTTTTTTTTATTTTGGTTTCCCTGGAGATAATCGAGCAAGTTTAGACCTGAGTAAGAAGAGATTCATTATAAAATCAATTGATCCACTGTCTGATCCACATTCATCTACTGATTCTGAAAATAAGTTGTCGGCGTTTGAGTAGGCCTAATTCAATGCAATAATATGAAAATCCAGTAACCATCTGTGGATATACAGTACTAAGATTATAATACATGATACTGGTACGAATACGAGATGGTGAAGTGAAAAGAGGTGAGTGAAAAGAAGATGAAGACCAATAAAACGATGAGGACGACTGGGAAGAAGTAGAAAAAAGATAAAGAAAATGAAGAAACGGACGAAGAAATCGATGAAGAAGGAATGGAAGAAGAAAATGTTGGTTTTTTGTCTTACCTGTAATATTATTGCATATGTTTTGCTTGAAATTATGACAAATCATTTAGTATATAGAAGAAGAGAAGGACGAGAAAGAAGAAGAAGAAGAAAAACAAGTGGCCGAGGAGGAGGATACTTTCTCTTTGAGACGGTGCTATATAAATCTCTATTTCTCTATCAAGGTGGAACAGTGTGCTCGTCGGATTATAAGTAGGCCTCCTACTAATAATAACAAACAAGTTATCGTAATCTCGAAAGCTCCGATGAGGGAAATATAATAAGAGGCAGTAGAAGGTGCTGGCCCTAACGGCCGCCCATACAAAAAAGGCTTATTAATCAATCTAACAATCAATCAAACAAACACACACAATCAGCCAAGTGTTTCTAGAGCTCTTTGAAAATTACACGGTAACTATGGCTCATTGGTCTAGCGGCATGAATGTACTTTAGGTTGTGAGACATGCACGGTTCAAAAAAAGATATATCAATTAGCCGAGCATGTATTCCTTAACTCCTTTAAATTTACATAGTAACTATAGCTCGTTGGACTAGACTAGACGCCGATAAAGGCCTGATACTTCAACGATAACGATAACGATAAAAAAGCTAAAAAGCAATTGTTCATATAGAAAATAAAAGAAATAAGAGAGGTTTTTACACTAGAAGGATTCGATAACGATTGATCAGTTATGCGATAACAACATATTTTGACAAATCAAATCAGATGACGTCATAATCATGGAAAAACTTTAAAATCGTAGTAGTTTAAAGGTAGTAGCTTAAGGGGTGAGGTGAAAGGTACCTGGTTCGATTCCCGCACGAGCGTGTTTCATTTTCTTCTCTAAAAATAAAAACAAAATCTATTAATCAATCAGCAATAAATATCTATCAGTCAGCTGAGACAGTAACTAATGCTCGTTTGTGTAGATGCATGAATGTAGCTTGGGGCATCCATAGAGAAAATATGGGGTATCAGAGGTCCCCTGGTTCAACTTCCGAACGAGCAAGTTACATTACAGCCATGAAAAAAGCACAATAAAAACAGCACAATCAATTAATAATAGATTACTTTTGCTGTTTATAATGCGTCCTAAATCACTAATCTGTTATCCTTTATAATGACCATTGACCTGTATTCCCCTGAAATACTGACGTATCTTATACAGCTTTATCCTATAATTTATATCTACTGTCTCTTTCAAAGCGGTCTCTACTCATCTCCCCTTCTTAATTATCATCCAACAGTGTCATCTTACAAAAATCAATCTTTTTTTCTTTATGCAACATAGTGTTAGGTTACTATATTTAATTTACTGCATACAATATCATTTATTACGATCTTTACACAGGAATACTTTTACCATAGGAACTTATCGGTAGACCGTTATTAGCCGTATGTCTTATTTACATCATAAACTACCGTATATGGGAGGAAAACTAAGCATCTTGACAAACATTCAATGAATTTCACGTGACGAACTTCATACTCATAAATGCCAAGTTACAGTAGACTAATTGCAAGCATGAGACTGTTGTTCTTAAAACATTCCCCTAGGGGGTCCGGGGAATCCCGCGATGCCCGGAAGTGCATTCTTTGCCACTTTAGGGTAGTAAAATAGGATAAGATATTGTAGGCAGCTCCATAATTTTTGATTGGTTGGGAGCGTTACGTAAAATAGAAAGTAAACCAAGCTCAAACAGGGTGTAGTGCGCCACCATTTATTTGTGTTCGAATGTGTAAAGACAAAACCAATCCTCTTTTTATGTACTGTAATAGAAAACTACAAAGTATACACATAATTTTGATTATAGACGATAATACATGTGTGAGATTTTGGTCGTTAAGCGTGAGAGCGTCAGACAGACCCCCCAATGCGCGAGTCTCACGCCTAATGCGTGAGCCTTGGCGTGTATGGCACTTCCACGGAATAATACTATTACGGTGCTGTGCAAAACAGTGCGAAGGACCGCCCGCGGGGTGGAAAGGGTGGTGTTTTGGTGTATTTTTGTTTAGAAATGCTTGACCATAAACAGTGGTTCATGGAATTTAAATTTTAAAAATAGTTTGTATTGGAATGCTGTGTGCC